TTGAGGTGTACCACAATTTGCCCCGCGGTATCGCAGAATTAATACTTGGGCCAGTATGGGCGGAGTGCCGGAACCACCCCGTGCAGCGGCTACCTAAACCATAGTGGCCCAAGTATTAATCGTGTGTCACGTGATAGGTTGTGGTGCACCTAAAACTCATCTCGTGCTATACATTTGGCGGAAAACAATGGGCGACACAGATACGCCTTTGTGGATGGAATGTGTTCTGTGTTTTGTCCCCTCGCAGTTGCGGCACTTGACATATTTGGTTCGGTTTTTGCGGAGTGCATATCGTTTCGTGTTGACAAAATGGTCCTCGACGGGCAGGGGAAGGTGGCAGTTGCACCTGCCACTGGCAACTGCACCGGCAGTGGCATCCGCCACTACGCCTACCGACAAGCGATGAAACCTGGCAAATACCAGAAACTCATATTCCGATACAAGGAATTCTGCAGCCCAACGATAAGTTCTACAGAGAGAATCATTCTGCTGATTTGATTACCAAATAGCTTTTCCCTGTACAAAATGCTAGCTGCTTGTCGTGGCCACAGGCCCACGCCTGCAGGTACGGCGATGGATTGATGCAGGCTCTGCATGTTGCATCGTATTAAAGAAAATCAATATTATTATTGATTTCCGTTGGACATGCAGTTGTGCACCAGTACCGGTAAGTCGTAGCCCGTTCAGCGTGCAGAATGCAGGCCGTCTGCTCTTGTAGCGAATCTGTGTGCAGGCACGTATGTGCCAGCTACGATTAGAGCTGCCTAATACGAGTAGATTTACTTCTCCACAGAGTACACAAGTCACAAAGTAAAGGGAGTCGTAGCTACCACATGTGAGTTCTAATCCTGGTTCTAATTTACATTGTGCCGGTGTATGCGTGATTTTCGTTGCAGTCGGAGCGAGTTCCTTAGGCCGCAAATTGGAATAGAAACAGCCTTGAAATCTGCTGATATAACTGGGATCCCTGTGTATTTGTGGGTATTGATGTTCTGGATCTGTGCATCGTTTGTGTTTAAATATTGTAGAGTGTGTTGGATCGCTGATCACCGTGCTGTAGCAGTTTCGATTAGAGGGCCAAACCAAACTTGCCAAAGAGCGGGACCGGACCGCCGGCCTCTAATAGAAGCCAATAAATATTGCGTTCCTAAATTTAGTGGAGAGTATTTCTACTACACGCATTCCAAAAGTACGTTTCCTGATTTTATCCCTCAGCTACAGCGCTTTTAGCTGTTGTCATGCATTCCAAACATGTCACGTACTGTTCTGATAAAAGTGATAGTACTGTTGACTCAACAGTATTATAAGTTTCTCAATAGAATTGAGTACTGATAACACTCGTTAATCGGTGAACATTTATAGTTTTTTTTTCTATATATAACCCACCACCATAATATCACTAAACCTAAAGGTATTCCGTCGACTTGTTTGACGTCACGTTATGATAGACGCACTGGGCAACGCAGTGGGTAACCACTGCGTATTCGTTGACTAAACCTTTCAAATTCATGCAATTCCTTCCTGTTATGGCTCAGAAAACACAGAAAAAAATTTTAAGCTTGGAAATGGAGGTGGGTACATGAAACGTTGCCAGGAAAACGAAATTTTAGGATGTACGTTCTTATCGCTAGCTTTCCTTCGTGGTAAACAAAATTTACTTTAATCGTAAAGGTCTCGTTTTTCTGACACTTTTTACTTGTCCACCTTCGATATTCAAATTTCTTTCTGCATTTTTTTAGCCATGGTATGAACAGACTAGGCGAATTTGAAAGTTATTATAAACACAAAAGCCGCATGCGTTGCCCACTCTTCGCCCAGTGCGCTTCATCTACCGTGGCGTCATGGTACAAAGTGAAAGCTCGATGGAATACCTTAAGGTTCAGTAATATTATGCCACAACTTATGTAGGTATACGAGGACAATTGGGTGCTGTGAACACCTCCTGCACGATTGGGCTGCGATGAACACCTGGCTAAATTTAAGCCGTTTGCATTTAGAATGTGATGACAGTAGCGTTTCGAGCTACGGCTAGCCAGCTGTTCATCGCTGCCCAATCGTGCAGGAGGTGTTCACAGCACCCAATTGTCCTCGTACGCAAAGTACGTTCCGGAGTTGACTAGCTGACGATCGAGTAACCGAAGCTTAATTGGCTTCATCCAGGCCATCCTTTACGTTAACGCAAAGGACCGCAAGCATTAAGCGGATTAAGCTTTGATTAATTCACGAAAAGGCGCCCTCTGCGCTGATCGAGGGACAATGGATGCCGCGCGTTAGCTTGCCTTGCGCACTGAATGCGCCGTCTCCCAACTCGCAGGCAGACCTGAAAAGAAGTCATTGTCTGACCTCTTCTCGGATTAGCTTGCATCAAGGCGTACGTTTAACGTTTTTCGTCCGCCAAGGCCCACACTTCCCACTGCGACGGAGCGGAAGTCAGGCGCGTCGACGGGACACTGCTTGCGGCTACTCAGGGGCGACAACGAGAAGGTGCTGATGTCCACCGGTTCCGGCGGTTCGGGCAACTGCATCACCAGCCGCCATTTAGTAATGATATGGCTGCGCAACCGCCGGTCGCTACTGTATGTATATGTTGACAGATTAACGCAAGTAGCGTCCAATCTGTGCAAGCTGGTGAGCTGGTTCCGTGAGAGCATGTGCCAAACTTGGAATGGGCTTTTTGAAAGATGTGAGAGTTTTGCGGTGATGTCCTGACGCGGCCGTCTCGTGCCCTTCAAGATCAATCGTCAAGGACACTGCAGGAGCATTTGATTGTATGAGCGCAGGCGTACTCAGCGTGCACCCTTGCTTGGCAGTCTGTTGTGTTTGTTGCGCGCCCGCCTACGTGTGGCGAACGCATGGTGTTCTGTGCGCACCCGCATCATGTGGCGGTTACGTGTGTCATTCTTGCGCTTGCTGCAGTCAGCAATGCGAAGTTGTCCATGAGGAAATTCTATCGAATTTAGTCTCATCTATGAAGTTCTCGCAATCGCGCTGTTTCTCGCTTTCTATAGCGTAGGCGCTGTGTAGCATTGCCAGATCTGTTGGGTAGGCAGAATTCCGTTAATTCTGTTCCTATGCGTGAATCTTTACCAGGTCCACGCTTATATGGTAGCAAGAGTCGTGTTTCTCCAGGAATAATCCCTGAGTTGTCCCGTCCATCTGACGAGGAGTGGAGGATTTCTTCCGCGAGAAAGGGCTCGCGTACGCTTCTGTGGCAAAGGAGCGTTTGGATCCGTTCAGCAGACTTGAGAACGGTGCATCTCTACTGCGTAGAGTGCACTGTATCAGTCTGACGCGATCAGGGTTACTGCAGTAGCCTTGATCGGAGGGGCACAGGCGCCGAGAAAGATCGCCACAAGAGGCAGAAGCCCGAAGGGGGGCACGAGTGGGCAAGCCACTTTTGGACTGCGGGTGTGGAGTTCAGGTTCGTTTCTACTGCGTAGAGCGGACACACTATACACGCTCTCCCAAAATGGTGATCGAGCGCCCCTGTCGTTGCCAACGTCAAGCCGCGACAGAAGACCCGCAGCCAGCAAGTCTTTTGGTCGACGCACCGCTGCGTCCTGCTGATACGAAGCAGAAGCGGTTATCGGCTGGCCCAGAAGAAGTCAGCTTAATCGCTGGAGGATTGGAGGATTCGCGGAAGGACGCGCAGGATCGACTTTCTGGATCACAGACGGTCAGCTGAGAAATTTACGTTATTAATTACGCCATTGGCGGAAAGGTCAAATTCACAATTTTCATTGGTCGGTACTGAGCTAAGCAGAAAAGTAGGCGGTACTTTTGCGCACGGCGCGCTACGAAGAATTTTCAGTTTTCCGTGTGACGTCACGAGATCGTATAATTTCAAAAACAACGTTTCTGATTGGTCAGTTATAAGTATTGCGATTGGTGCAATTTAGCGGCTAAAAGTGAGCACGGATATCAGCCAATTAGAAGCTAAGATTTTGACACGAGGCGGAGTTTTTGCGCACGGCGCACAAGAAACTGACGTAGCTAGCTGAAAAAGTTTTCTGAGTCGACTGATGAGATCGTGACCTTTACCAGAAATTTGATGAGAAGGATAACCTTTACCGATAATGAAAAGTTGAAGATTTGACGCAAGTATTATGTTCAGTTCAGTAAATTCTTAAATAAAATCCAAAAATATCTCCAAGTTTGCAGTTTTCGATAAAGTTTGTGGTGACCTTTACCAGAAAAAGTTCTGAAAATAAAAAGTGACCTTTAATAATTCGGAGCAAGCATTAAGCTGAAACAGCTGATGACCTTTACGAGTTGAGTATTTGAAGAAGAAAGTGACCTTTGAGAGAACTTAGTCAAATTTCTGAAGTAGAAAGTGACCTTTAGAAAGGACTTAGATCTTTTAAAGGCAGAGTGACCTTTAGCAACTTTACTCGTACGATACGAAGTGACCTTTAAGACAGCAATTGTTTCTGTTTACGTGTAAAAGGCCTTACGTACCTTAAACTAACACACGTTTCAGAAGCATTATTAGCATCGTCCAAAGTTATCCGATCATCAACGGAATCCAACACTATGGACAAAGATACAGACGGTAATGAACCGGTCTCGTCGGGTAGTCAGAGAGAACGGTCTCGGGGTTTGGAAAATCTTTATACAGTGAAATTGAAGCCGTACACACGGCCGGTGGCCCACGACAGAGCAACTCGAGCTCAACTGGCCTTTGGGAGGAAGGACACGAAAGGTTCAGAAGCCACATACCAAAAGGCTCTGAAGGAAACCCAGAACAAGGAGAGATCGAGTGACGGAAGTCATGAGCCCAACGTCAAGCGAGGAACGGTATGAGCCCAACGTCAAGCGAAGAAAGGTACTTCACTGATGATGAGGAGACTACGGTGCAGATGTCCTTCCACACCGCAATGAAGCAAGCTGATCTAGCAGAGATGACCTTAAATGAAAAGTTAGAAGAGACTTTCGAGGGAACGGCGTCAGGAAGGGCTGACGACCGGGATCAAAGGTCACCATCACCAAAAACGTCTGTAATGAATGGATTAAAGCAGCGTGTCAAGGAACTCGAGCAGCTACTTAACGAGAAAGAAGGGCAAGCATTCGCTGCATTACGAGAACAACGGAATAAAACTAATGAAGCTGAAGCCAGACTGTATGTGATGGAACAAGAAAAGGTCGCACTCGAAGACGAAGCGCAACAATGGAAAGTCAGATTCGAAGCTCAGAAACAAGTTGCGGAAAATCTAAGGAAAATGGTCGAAGATCGAGTTGCGGAAGGAATACTCACCGCAGAAGACTACGGTCTGTCCGAGGAAGCAACTGAAAGGTCACGGGAACTAGCGGAATTGAAAAAGGAGCGTGACTTTTTGCAGTCAAAAGTCAAAGAGGCCGAGAAGAAGCGTGATGAATCCCTGTCAAATGCGACATGGTTTACCGGAAAGGTCACCAGCCTGACGGCTGACATTTCGAAATTGAAGGATGACCTTAAATCACGTGAAAAACTGGTAAATACGTTGCAAACGGAACTACAAGAGAGAAAAACGAAACAAAACGAAGCAGAAGGCCAGAGAGATCAAGCAGCAAAAAGGCTCCTTGAACTGGCGGAAAAGACGAAAACGGAATTCAAGCGACTCAATGATGAAGTCGAGAACCAAAAGAAAGAAGCAAAGAAGTGGCTGACCGTAGCACAACAGTGTGACGAACGAGTCACCGTGCTAGAGGTTGCAAATAGAGAAGGGCAGAAAGAAACCGAAAAACAAAAAGAAGAGATCGCCAAATTGAGGGACGAACTCGTTGGATTGGCCACTACAGGGATAGAAAAAGATGATAAAATCAATACGGTTGTCGAGGAGTGCGAAGCGAAAGGAAGGGCCCTCGAGCACAGAGCGGAGCGTATTACACGATTAGAAGTAGAAGCTCAGATCCTAAAAGCAGCAAAAATGGACCTTGTTAAGACCCTCGATCAAAGGGCAAACACAATTATGGAGCAGATGAAAAAGGTCACCGAAGCAAATGAGGATTACGAGAAGTTGAGAAAGGATGCAAATGATTTGCTGAAAGAATTCCGACAGATGGAATCGCTGAACAAAACGCTTCAGGAGGAAATCAAAACACTGAGAAGTTCAGCAAAAGCAAAAGAAGAAGAAACAGCTAAACAGTGGCATAAAGAACCACAACGGATAGAATCTCCGCCCCCGGGATATGGTGAAGTCCTCTCAACAGAAGGTAGCTTTCACTTCAAAGTTCCTTTAAAGACGGAGACCGGCCGAAGTGACAGCAAGGACGAAGAAAAGGTCAAAACCGAAAAGGTCAAAGAAGATCCCGAGTTAGCGAAGGGGAACTCGGGGTCGCAAGGCGGGGTCAATCCTAAACAACACGAAACTGCAGAAACAATCGTTTATAAATCTGACCACCAGCCGGATAAGCGAGAAGATCAGCGTGATCGTCAACACGAGCAGGAAAGGGTAGCTCGTGAAGAAGAGAGGCGTGAAAGGGAATACCGCGCCGAATACCACGCTGAAGCACAGCGACTACGTCGTGAAGAACGGGAGTTCAAAGGTATCATGAGTGCCATGTCTCAAAAGTCCGCGCTGATCGACTTCAACGGCAACCGAGAAGCCTTACTCGGTTGGATCCGTCAGGTCAAAGAGACTCAGAAGACATATGACCTTTCCGATGCAGCAATGATGCTGGAAGTCGCCAACGCAGTCAAAGGGGACGCTATGGCATGGTTTGATGCGGAAAGAGAAATTGACGATTAAGAAGAGGCGGAAGAACTAACCGTCGACGAATGGATAACCAAGTTCAAAGAGCATTTCGGCGATCGTGACGAAGGAGTCAATGCCTTACGGGAAGCCATGATAAGAAAATTCGAGGCTGGCAAATAAACGCTTGATCAATTCTATCAGGCGATCATGCGCTTCAAATCGAAACGGATCATTACAGAAAAGCAGGCCATCGGATTTCTGATTCAAGGATGTAAGAACGATAGTGACCTTTATAAGGCACTTCGAGCGCAGAAATTCCATAACCCAATGGACATCAAGGAATTCTTCCGCACATGGTCGACCGGCGAAGAAAAGTATAAGGTCACGAGAGGCAACCGGACTCAAGTCGACTGCGTTATCATTCGCTCCGGTCAGATCGAAGAAGTCGCGAATGGACCAGTCGCGAACCAGTCGTACTCGGCGCAGGTGCCAAGATACAACACGGAATTTCCGCCTTTAGGCACTTAAGAGGTGACCTTTGGCAATGAGCGAAATGAAGGTCAGATATCGTACGCGACGATCGCGGCGACACAGACAGCGGTTCAAGAAGTAACCAAGCCTGCGATCGCGGCGATCCGAGCGTCAGCTCAACAAGCGGCCAGACCGGCGCAGAAGTCGCAGGGGAACAGTCAAGGGAATGCCCTGAACGGAGGGCTCGGCGGTCAGGGAATGGCTCAGGTGAATCCGGGCTTTGCCGGCCAAGGATGCAATGGTGGCGGAAGAAATCAAGGAAACTTCATGCCAAACCGCGGACAAGGAAATCAAGGACCAAGATACGGATCGCGAATGGAGCGACTTTTCACCATGATTGATGGATGGGTGGTCAATAACGCGCTAACATGCCAGAATTGCATGTACGACAATCACCATACGCAAGCGTGCTCATTTGCGGTAACACCGTGGAATCAAAACCCCAATCGGGTCGTATACGAAGAATGGTTGATGCTGCGCAACAATCATGGTGGATGGCACAATGCGGTGGCAAATGGATATGTGCCACAGTCACGGCAAGGCGGACAGTACGCTGGTCAAGGTGGCCAAGGAAACTTCGGAGGTCAAGGTGGGCAATGGAATAACGCCGGTCAAGGAGGCCAGGCCAATTACAACAACCAAGGTCAAGGGAACTTCGCAGGTCAAGGAGGCCCAGGTAACTTCGCTGGTCAAGGTGGCCAAGGCGGAGGAAACGGTGGATATGGCCCGGCTCGCGGAGGCTTCCGAGGAAGAGGCAGAGGCCGTGGCGGCAATCGCGGAAATTATTGCGGTGGCCAATGGAACAACGGCGGTCGTCAAGGCGGCCAGTGGAACGGTGGCGGTCAAGGAGGCCAGAATTATGCCGGTCAAGGTGACCAGGGCAATTTCGCCGGTCAAGGTGGCCAGGGCGGCTTCGGCGGGCAGCAAGGTGGTTTTGCCGGTGGAGACCAGAATGGTTTCGGTCAGCAAGGCGGAGGATTTAACTTCGCCCCGGTATATGGCGTCAGTCAGGCGCAAGGTGCGCCGGCGCAGGGAATGGCCCAGGGAAACGTACAAGGTCAATAGACGCCGGTGAGCCTACTGATCGTCCGGAACCGAAACCACCGGATATAGAGGAGCAAGGTGCTCCGCTGCAGGCAAGGACCGCAGCGCGAAAGGGATGCTGCAAAAGTAACGCAAAGACCCGGAAAAGAAATCCGAAGATTCGAGAAAGTAACTCGAAATCGAGCGAAGGGGCTCAGAAAGGTCAAGAGAAGGGTGTGCAAAGATTGCCGCGAAGACGGAAGAATTCGACCTAAAGGTCACCGTAGAAAGTAACTGCGGAACGTCAAGAAAGTAACTTGGCGCAACCGGGGCTGACCCAAAGGTCACCGCAGAAAGTAACTGCGGACAACAGGGTTGACGGAAGGGCCTCAACTCTGCATCCGGATCAGCAGAAAGTAACTGCAACGAAAGGTCACGAAAGTAACGTGACGCTGCAACAAGGGCAGCCGGGGCTGACCGAAAGGTCACCGCAGAAAGTAACTGCGGAAAACAGGGTTGACGGAAGGACCTCAACTCTGCATCCGGGACAGCAGAAAGTAACTGCAAATCAAGAAGGTCACGAAGGTAACGTGACGCTGCAAGGACAGCAGACCCAAAGGTCACCGCGGAAAGCAACCGCGAGGAAGAGTGAAGCTACTCTCCGAAAGACGCAAGCTGAAATCTCAAGCAAAGAGGATGGTGAGACACATCACGCGAGTTTCCGAAAGTTCGTCGAAAAGACGTTTGAAGTGGACGGAATGACCGTAACTGTGCAACGAACGCACGAAGACGGTCCAGAGAGACGAAAATTTCTTGAGCAGGTGCCAAAAGTAGTTCAAGCAAGGGCTGCTGAGAAAGGTTACGGAAGGGCCGTGACAGCGCAAGGAGCGCAAGAGACCGAAAGGTCAACTCAAGAGAGAGATGTAGAAGTGAAAGGTCACGAGAGAATGCCAGTGCAACAGACTCAAAAACCACTGAATGAGAAAGGTCACGGTGAAGTCGGCGATGAACCGAAAGGTCTAGAAAGCAACTTGACTCTGCGAATGGCGCAGCTTACAGTGAAACAGAGCGAAGGGGTACAGCAGGTCTCAGATGACTCTCTTGATGAGGCAAACACTCTACAGCAAAAGATGGAGTGGCAGAAAGTTGCTTACAGACCGAACGGACGGCACGGTATGTGGAAACCAGTTCCTCCGCCACAAAGGTCACCGCAAGATGTGAGAATCTCCAGAGAAGCTTACTGGGAAGAAAGAGAAAGACAAGGTTGGCGGATGAGAAAGCATCTCGAGGAACAAGTGAAAGCTTCACAACCGAAGGTACAAGAGTACTGGAAAGAGAAAATCAAATGTGATGAAAATAACCGTCATTTTCGAGAGCGGATTGAGAAGGGTGAATTACCGCCTCAATAAGGCGAGAAAATACCTTTACAAAGGTCACCGAATGGCGGATTTTTCGTGTCTCGACCGAAAAGGTCACCGGACTTAGCGCAAACTACGCAGAAGGAGAAGTCATATGATATGACTGAAGCAATTCGGAATGACATCGAAAGGTCACCGCCCAGAACTGACGGAATGTCATCTCAAATTGATCCAACTCGCACGAAAAACGAAATCGCGAAGAAGATTACAGAGTGGATGAAAGAAAACGACCACAAGATGGTTGTGTATGAAAGGTCATCAGAAGAATTGAAAAAGGATGAAGATGACGAGATGACCCTCGCAGATGAAATTACGCAAGAGATAATGGCAAAATTGCAAGAAAAGCCGTCCAAAAACGTGCGCAATGAAAAGTCACAATACGAAGTTATTGCGCAAGTGATAAAAGGTCACGAGAACGCACAAGAGAAGGGGTTAATGTGCGAAGTGACAAAGGTCACGAGTAAAGAGACCGCTGCGAAGGAACAGATGAATGTCTTACCTAAGTCAAAACGGATCGAAAAATTCTCAGACGTGCGACCCGACGTACCGAAACGGATTGATCGTTGGAGCTCAAAAGGTCTGATAGAAAGCAAGCATGCTGCACCGATACCGGTCAAATGTCGAATAAAAGTCCTGAAACTCGAAGACGGAAACGTACCGAAACGGATTGAAGCTTATACACATGAAGTCAAAGTGGGAAATAAGAAGGTCATGGCGATGCTTGATACTGGCGCAAAGATGTCTTTGATCTGTCAGCAGTTTTGTGAACGGAACGGCCTTCACATTTTACCGCTCCCGCCAAGAAGGACGGTGATGATCAAAGGGATCAGTGGGACGTCAGGATTTCAAGTTACGCATTACTGCGTCGCACCAGTGACTTTAAGAAAGAAAACGAGTCAACACTCTTTCTACGTCAGACCAGCGTCAGACGATGTGCAAGTCCTACTGGGATTCGACTTCCTCGCAAAGAAATTCATCTTAGTAGACGGGGATGACGAGGAAGAGCGAGAAACTGAAGCTGAAGATGATGAGCCGAAATCCTCTGCAAAAGTCAATGCAGGAAAGGTGACCGAACTTCAACCAAGAAATAATTCGGGGCAAACGGCTATCCCAGTACCAGAGGCACAGGGATCGAAAGATAAACAAAACGAGAATGGTGAAGAGCTAATCCCAGTACCAGAGGCACAGGGATTAGAGAAAGCAAAAAGAAGTGAAAGGTCACCAATGCCAAAAGGAAAACAAAGGTCACCAACAATGGAACAAATCAAGATTATGCAAGCAGAAGCGCTGATTGCAAAGAAGCAGTCGCTAGTGCCTGGATTAGAGTGGTCAAGGCTAATCCCAGTACCAGAGGCACTGGGCACGAGAATGGTTGGACCCAGAAAAGAGCCTGACTGATGAACAGCGACGAAAGATTATTCTTCTCGGAAATACGAGATCAGGCCAGAAAGCAACTGGATACGAAGAAAGCAAAATATGGTTCTCAGCATGCTTTCGAACCACGCACTGTTGTTGAGATAAAACAAGAGAGCTGTTTTATAAAAAAAAAAATAAAACAAGTTGAAAGATAAAGAAATCGAAGTCATCGAAGTATCCTCTGGAGATAGCGCTATTGAAATTGAAAAGGATGACGAATGGACAGATACGGATTCGGGAGAAAAAGATAAGGGCGTTATCATCCGACCTGAACCGAGAGAACGGATGCCGGAAGGGGATAATCATGTCGTTTCCCGCAAACCAAGAGAATGGACGACGGAAGAGAGAGCAGCCTCTTGCCATCACGATTGGCATGACAGCGATGACCTTTCGATAGCGCGACCTCAAGAAAGATGTGCAAAATGCATGCAAGAAATGACGCAAGATGACTTTTCGGAATGGCCGAAATGCAATGCAGCAATTGCACGTCATAAAAAATAAGAAGATAAAGAGGTCAAATCAATCGTAAGAGCACTTCCCATGTCGGAGTTGCCAAAAGCAGCTTACCTCTGGCAATGTTATCGAGAATGGTTATCAGTAGTAAAGAACTACATCATCTCCAGAGGGAAGTGGCTTCACCATTGGCAGCAGGAAGCTGACAACTTC